AAAAGTGACAACACAACACACTAAGCCAATGTCAAATCATCATTAAATAAGGCGAGACAATAATAATGTTGAGATTTTATCAAAACGTCTGAGAAGGGCCTTCAACAAAAGAACTTTCAATGCTGACTGACTGTTTTCAACATAATACTTTGCAGGTTCTATCCCTGGTGGGGTCATGAGTGCGTACAACTGGGGAGTCCCAAACTAAGACAAAACAGTTGTCCAGTATTCCCTGGTTTTCAATGATTCTCTAATTCTTGTTGATTTGCAATCGAATCTACATCGAAATCTTGCGTTTTTAAAAACCCTGTTTTTAAGGCTATTTATTCTGTTAAAATCACCAAACACTTTGGCTATAAAATATAAAAATAAGGTAGTTACACATATATCAAGAAAGAGTCGAAGTGGAAATGTCAAGTGTGGCGTTTGAAAAGTATGTCCTAATAAGTAATTTAATCGACACCAGAAGTTACAATCTAATCACACACAGACTACTTTTCAAAAAAAGACTGAAATAATATAAAGAAATAGATAAGATGGAGATAAGGCGTATTCCAACAAGTTGTTGGTAAATAAAGGAGTAAGACAAGGCTGCCTGCTTATTATCACCGATGATATTCTTAATCGTGGTGGACTCGATTATGCGTCAAAATGTGCGTGAGAGTGCGGAGACAGGAATACGTTGAACTGACCGATAAGACGACTGTAGAAGATATGGATTTCGTAGATGACAAATGTCTTATTTCCCACAAATTCGAAGAATTGCAAGCGAAAACCAAAAAAACTGGTTGAAGAGGCTAGCAAGCAGCGAAGACAGGACTGCAGGTGAACATACAGAAAATGGAGACGAATGTGATGAAGATAACCAACCGACCATCATCAACAGAAACAACAACCAGCACCAATCACCATCACCTGGAGAGATTTCACAGAGGCTACTTCCTTCACTTATCTGGCTAGGAAGCACGCTTTCAACCATAGGCCGGTGGAACGGATAAAGATATAAAAGCTAGTCAGAATCGGAAAAACAAGATACACCTTCATCAACCTGAAACCAGTTTGAAAATCTTCTGCACTCACTCAGCCAGCATAAAGAACAAGATTCGAATCCTATTCAACACAAAGTAAAGTCAGTCAGTCACTTGTTGTATACGAGTCAGAAACTTGCACTGCATGTGAGTCACGAAAAGGATTCCCAACAGGTTACAAACGTTTATCAACAACTGCCCACTTCACTGAGTGGCAGGGCCAGCCAGAAAGAATTAGTAACAAGAAATTCTGGTTGGCCAAAAACCAACCAAGAGCTGATCGCTAAACAAATATGTAGGAGAAAATGAAGACTGATCAGGCATATTTTAAGGAGGTCGTCGAATGACATCGCGCGCAATGCAGGTCATCGCTCGAGTAGAATTTGAATGGGAAGCGACGAGTGCGTCGTCAACGAGAGGGTGACATGAAGAAGATCGTGTGGCGAGGAGGAGATGAGAGATTATGAGCAATCGTTGACCCAGCTGAAGAGGACAGAACCAAACAGAACAAAGTGGAGATGTGTTGTTGACGCCCTATGTTCCATTCAGAACCCGAGGGAATAATAATAATAGTAAAATAATAAGGCATATTGACTTAAACACTTGAATTTCAGCCAAGGGTATACTGGGTTCAAATCTCCCTCCACTACTACCACCCCACTTCAGTGTGGATAACTAACTAACTGGGTGAGTACCATTAGCCCTCAAATATTAAGTGTGGCTTGACATATATGGACTGGCACATGCAAAACGTGTTCCAGGGAACGGAGTTCTAACCAGCTACTTTTTTTCCTTCGCGTTCCCCACTGGAACATAGGGCTTCAAGCTAGTGGCTTGAAGTTTCTGTAGCAGTGTTTATTTTACAGGATGGGGTTGCTGGCCTCATGCCCAACCTTACCAACTCTTCACCAGTATTATTTCTGGCTTAGCAAGGTAAAGGGGTGCGTCGGCCGAGGATCGAATCCCGCACCATATGCATGGTTGGCGAGCTTCCTAACCGCTATACCACCAACGCACCAACCAGCTACTTACTACAGCATAAAATACATAAAGTAGTCTAAAAGACTTTCCTCTTAAACAAACAAACAAACAGAAGTCAATAAGTCAATATTTACAGAAAAATAATCGACACAAGAAGCTTCTTTCTTTTGGAATAAAAAAAAGAAAGAAACAATAAATAGAATTATCTATAGTTTGGTTTGTAAGGATTAGTTATGTTTTACGAGTGTAACGCGAATCAAAAACATCATTACAGCAAAATACATACTACATATATTCAATTGCTACGTAAACATATATATATATATATGTATATCAACAGAAGAAAATAAGGGGGGTGCACATCGCTAGAATCGATCGCTAAACAGTACATCACATCATATGATGCAGTTACTGATTCTTATTTTCTCTTCTCTAACATGACAGGAGGATAATGATGATGATGACGATATCGTTTTTCTATTTATCTCTTTTCATTTACTCACATACGAATATGAACATAGATATTTTTTATTGCTCCAGCTCATCAGTTATTACTTTTATCGAATAGAAAGATTTAAAACAATTAGCTCCCTTTATAAATTTAGACAAAGCAATAAGAAGATGTAATTTGTCTGAATCGTGTAATGTATTTGCGCGCACAACACATTTCGAACAATCTGATCACACAAGGACTTGTCATAGGAATATATGTGAAATTAATCAAGAGTTAAGAGGTGAGAAAATTAATTTAGGTCAAGTTAAAAGGACATATTCAAGGTCAAAATAACAATGAAGATCACTAAATCAAATAAGGGAGGTAATAGTACATCTGCACTGGCTGGTATCAAAACAAAGTTTACCAAGGAAGGTTTAGTGTGATGACGAATTGTTGCTTTGAACGCATAAAGGTGGTTTACACTTTCTAATTGCCAGCTAGGGCTTCCATAAACTTTAGGATACGCCCCAAACACGTTTTATAGATAGGTTTAAAAGATGTGTTAACGTCAATTTTATGTCCTGTCTCCATAATATGTTTCGCAATAGAGAAGCTAAGTCTCCTGTTCTCATGATTAATGGGTTTTGAAGATTCTATTTGCTTCTGGAGCCATTTAGGAATATGCTCTGAAGCCAGCCCTTACTTGCAGAGATCGATGAGTCCTCCCTATGTATGTGTGTCCACACGTACATTCAAATTGATAAATACAGTGGGATGTGACATCATTTTTCGCATTTTCGAAAGGCTTAGATAGATATATTGGCTTCACATTCTCAATTATTATGATATTAGCTGCATAAAAAGTCTTTTCAACAGCAGCGTTCAATCTTTGTGTAGTTATGAAGCTGCTATGATTCCCCATATAGGGTAGCTTAATGTACACGTCTTTCTTAGAGGGGAGTTGTAGAGTGGGTCTTGGTGTTCTGACTACTTTATATCTCCTGATGAACTTGTCTGGATAATTGTTGTTATCAACCAGAGTTTGTGTCAACTTTCTTTCTTCGTCATCAAGTGTGTCTTCCTTCAGTGCATATTCGTTGGATTCTACCTCTTAACTCTTTATTAATTTCATATATATTCCTATGACAAGTCCGCGTGTGTGATCAGATTGTTCGAAATGTGTTGTGCGCGCAAATACATTACATGATTCAGACAAATTACGTCTTCTTATTGCTTTATCTGAATACAAAGATTTTACTACAGTCAATTTATTCACAGATAAAATTAAACAATGATAAATGGTATTTCTGTAAAAAGAAATATCTATCTATAACTCGAAAGCGAAGATAGGCCTTCCAGGGAACATAGAGAAGAGACGGTGGTGATGAAGGTACCACCGACGATCACAACAACAACAACAAAAAGCCACTATCAACTGGAAAACTTTGTAGGAGATCACCTACCTCTTCCACTTATCTAGGCAGCATCGTTTCAACTTCAGTCAAGCGGCAAGAGTGAAGATGTCGAAACCAGACAGGATCAAAAGGACAGACACCTTCACTACTCTGAAACCAGTGTAGAAATCTACTAGCACTACTACTCAGCATAAACAACGAATATCAGATTTTCAATGCTAATGTGAAGGCGATCAGTTCTTCTGTTTGGTTCACAGACTTGGTGTGTCGACAATATATCATTTCCAACAGGATTCAGACTTTTATCAACAGCTGCCTTCGATGGCTCCATACTGAGGCTCAGATGGCCGGCCAGAAAGATTATGCAACAAGGAACTCTGTGAACAAACCAACCCAGAACATATCGCCCAATAAATACACCTAAGAAAATGGAGACGAAATGATGGACACACGCTGAGGATACCACCGAATAACATCAAGCGCCAGGGTAACACTCAAGTGGAACCATATTGGGAAACGATGAGTTGGATGTTGTAACGTGACATGAAGGAGGGGAGAGTGTATGGGCGACCGTGGAGCCAGTGGGTGCGTACTCCCAAAACTACGATGAAACAGCTGTCCAGTACTCCCTGCTGGTTTTCAATGGTTCTCTAACTGATATCAATCCGTGATCAACTCGTATAAACATAACTAACGCCTACAAACCAAACTATAGAAAATTAATCTGATGCTCGCTAGTGACTTGCTACAAGATGAAGTTTCCTGAAGTTCTAGTGAGAAGTCGTGACCAGTGAGGTCCATCCAAATGTCACGTGTGAGGATGGATGTCCCACCAACGACAATGGTTGGGGTCACGCCAAATCACGACTTGGCAGAAGTTAGAATTCACAGGATGGTCATTGAATCGAGTCCCAGTGGCTGAATGGTATACGAGCTTGTCTTGTAACCGGAAGGTCCTGAGTTCGAACCCTGTCAGTGGGTGCGTACTGCCGATGATCCCCGAAACTAGGATGAAACTGCAGCTGTTCAGTACTCCCTGGTTTTCAATGGTTCTCTAACTAATATCATTTCGTGATCAACTAGTAAAAATAATAGTAACATTAAAAATTATAATAAACAAGTGGTCAATAACTAACTCACCTGGAAAAGACATACGAATTGATCGAAGATATAATTCTTTCAGACTATGATTTCGAATTAAACCTTCACTTAGAATTTCAACACCTTTATCACCAATATTCATATTACAGCTTAAATCTAAACTGACTAAACCACCGACTAATGACACCAAAGATTCTGGTGTTTGCATTAACACCAGCGCCAGTGATTGCATACCATGTACGCCTAGATTATTATTGACAAGAGATAAACGTTCCAATCCACGAACTTTCATTGGTGGAATGTTTGTGTCAGCTGATTCTGTTTTTGTATCCTGAAGTTCTGATTCATTCAGTGATTCACTTAACGAGGAGGAGCATGATACTGCTTTTTCAATAGAGTCTTGATTGTTCGGTGTAGATGAACGATCACGTAGACGATTTCGATAGGCTTGAAGTAATCCAGTGCATAGAATGACTAATCCATCATCCTATTTAAAGAACAGGAAAAAGAAAATTATAATAATAGTAAATAATAAATTATGCGACATGTGTATGATTTCAAAACCAGAATCACTCTGGAATCAGTTTGAAAATGTTCTGCACTCAGCATAAGAAGGACAGAACTCAGATTCACGACAGTAATGTTACGTCAGTTCTTCTTCTATAAGGGTCAGAAACTTGACACTCGCATCACGGAAAGCATTTCCAGTAGGCTGTTGCAGACTTGGGTCAACAGCTGCCTTCAATGGCTCCATAGTGAAGATAAGATGGACGGAAAGAGCAAGAAAAGAACAAGGAAACCTGACAGGTTACGACCCAACCAAGAATCTATTGCTCAACTAATATAGCGAAGAAAATGGAGATGGATAGGACACACACTGAGGAGACCGTCCGATGACATTGCGTATTGGGCCCTCGAGTGGAACGTGAATGGGAAACGACGAGCTGGGCTGTTGTCCAAGGGTGGCATGGAGGAGATCGTTCGAGGAAGAGATGAGAGAATATGGACAATCATGGGGCCTCTAAAGACGACTGAAAAGAACAGGATAAAGTGAAGATATGCTATTGAAGCCCTATGTTCCACTCGAAACCCAAGGGAACAAGAATAATAATGAAATAATAATAACAAGAAAGAAAAATCCATAGCTCTGACAGCATTCTATCCCATAAGCAATGTATCACTAAGCTCTTATAAAAGGAAGAGCTGACGTTACCCTTCAGACAACCAAGTCAGACGTGGGGACGTTTACGCGCCAATAACAATGTGTGGAGATGTCACTGTATTGTGAATTAACAAAACAATGAGGACCACCTGACCAACAGATTCCGACTCAGAAGTGACATGCTTGCTAATCGGATTTAACGACAGGCAGTTTCCATCCTTCATGGAATCATGGATGCTCTCTATATAGATAGAAAGATCCCATGAAAGAACGAAATAGGCTACCAAACACCCCTTCATTTTGAATGAATTCTCAAACATACAAAAAAGTGAGTCATCCAAGAAATATATTAGTAATCAGTCTAATCAAACTATAAATTGTGGTAGAACACCAAACAAGATGGCATGAAAGAATTTCATGTACCTATCATCTGGAATCAAATCAACCAACAACTAGAAGCCCGTTGTTTACCACAATGAAAAAGTGAAGTAAGCATTCCTTTTCTTCTCTTCCTAATTGCATTCCGCTACGAGTGGAACATAAGCCTTCAAGCTTTGAATTCTCAGTAGCGGTGGGATAGCTACCCTTCTTTTTCCGTTTTTTTTGGTTCACTGTAGGCTGGTAAACTAGACAAAGTTTAAGAGTGCGTCAGCCGGGAAGTGAACCCGATTGGTGAACTGCAAATGCATCGAATAAAGATACATAGATTATAGAACACCATTAAAATAAGCAAATAGGTATTTTCGGTAAATTCACTTCAGGCTTTATAATTAAACAATAAGATATCAGTCATAATCATTTGAAACAATATGAATGAACAGAATCAAATATAATGGAGGACAATGTAAGTAGAATAATAATTATTATTATTATTATTCCCTTTGGTTCCGAATGGAATATAGGACTTCAACAACACATCTCCACATTCTTCCATTTCTGCCATCCTCTTCAGCTGGGTCCACGATCACTCATAATGTCTCATCTCCTCCATGTCACCCTCGCATTGATGACCCACTCGTCGCTTCGCATTAGGATTCCACCCGAGTGATGGTCTGCATTGCATGCAATGCCATTCGACGGCCTTCTCAAAGTATGCCGAATCCATCTCCATTTTCTCCTATATATTTGTTGAGCAATCGGCTCTCGCCTGTTGGTTTCTTCCCAGCCAGAGTTTCATGTTGCTGATTCTTTCTGGTCAGCCGGTTGGCCATTTGATCTTCAGTATGGAGCCAGAGAAAGCAGCTGTTGATGAATGTCTGTAACTTGTTGGGAATCCTTTTCGTGACTCACATGCAGTGCAAGTTTCTGACTCGTATACAACAAGTGACTGACTGACTTCACTTTGTGTTGAATAGGATTTGAATCTTGTTCTTGATGCTGGCTGAGTGAGTGCAGAAGATTTCCAAAATGATTTCAGGTTGATGAAGGTGTATCTTGTTTTTCTTATTCTGACTAGCATTCATATCTTTATCCGTTTCTCCGGCCTATGGTTGAAACCGTGTTTCCTAGCTAGATAAGTGAAGGAAGTGAGCTCTGTGAAATCTCTCCAGGTGATGGTGATTGGTGCTGGTTGTTGTTGCTGTTGGTGGCGGTTGGTTGGCTGTTTTTATCACCTTCGTCCCCACCTTCTGTATTTCACCTGGAGTCCTGTTTTCGCTGCCTGCTAGCCTCTTCAACCAGTTTGTTGCTTTTCGCCTGTAAGTCTTCGAGTTTGTTTGACATTAGACATAAATCATCCACACGCGAAATCCAGATCCTCTGGAGTCTTCTTATCGGTAGTCCAGCCTATTCCTGTCTCCTCGCTCCCCACAAACTGACGCATAGTCCAGTCCACCACAATTAAGAATATCGTCGGTGAAAATAGGCAGCCTTGTCAGTTTCTGAATGTTGAATAAATAAATAAAATAAAATGTTTGGAATGTGATGCGATATACATCGGACAAACATCTTGAGAAATCAAAATCAGAAGAAATTAACACCGTAGAGCATCTTTTCGACCACCAAGAAATCCAACTGAACTAGAAAAACTTGAAAAATCATCAGCCATAGGTCTACATGCCATAGAATCAGGCCACAAAATTGATTTTGACAATATTGAAATAATCCAGAAAAAGCATTTGAGAAATCGCAAAGAACGTCTAATGTGAGAAGCACTTCATATCAAGTGGAATCCAAATTGTCTGAATAGAAATGACGGACTAAAACAGAATTTGGCCAGCTTACAACACCTCCCTCCCCCATCAAGTGACAAAATCAACACGAATGTGATATGCAAGTTCACTATGTAAACACACACTGCCTTTATAATTTTACACACCGATCAAATCCAACAATCTACACTTGATTTTATCTTTACCAAATGACCATGTTGACCGCGAAAAATGCCCCCAGACAGACGAACGATGATCAAGTTAGTAAACTTTGTTTTGATACCGTAACAGATGTACTATTACCTTTGTTATTTGGTTTAGTGATCTTCAGTGTTATTTCGACTTTCAAAATGTCTATTTTCTCACCTCTAAACTCTTTGTTATATGTATGCTGAGATTTTGTAAATTCCGGTTTAATATCACTACTTTGATAAAACTATTAGCATTAAATAACGAAACGTCAGTAAAAACAATATCGTTTTGTTTTTCATTCATTGGGAAATACAAAGACCTTTATCATAAAGACTATGCTTACTTCACAATTACGCGTCCATCGACAATTGATTAGAAGGATATCTGAACTGAAGATGACATAGTCAGAGGGTAATCAAACCCATTTACATGTTGGTAGTTCTGCTGATAAAGGTGAATTTTGTTTTGTTTTTTCTCTGAAAACAGTTTTCGAATATAATCGTTCAATGAAAGAAGAACACTGAAAAAGACTTCTAAGTTGATGTAGAAAGCTTCGCCTAGAAAAACCCACACCAGTAAACTAGAAACATACTGAGATCATGTGAAGAGGAGATGAAAGCCTATGAACGATCGTGGAGCCAACTAGAAACGACTGCAGACAACAGGACAAAATGGAGATGTTATGTTGAAGCCGCGTTTTCTACTCAGAACCTATCCACATACACTGAAATACGCATACACACACACACCCACACACTACACTTCTTTAGGGCATAGCAACACATTGAAAAGAATGTGTTTCATTCATCTCTGAGCAAATGGAATCTATTGAAGTCAATAGTAACTCTTTTTTTCTAAAAACAGAATACTTGAAGTTAAGAGGAGACATTTGTTACCACACTACTGTAAAGAATAATAACTAGTGAGATGTATTATATCTCTCTAGATGAATGGTATATAACTCCTAGCAATTATGTGCATTGTACACTATATGAGTGTACTTGTACTTTCGATTAAATTAATTAGCACACCTCTATATTTCATATGTAGGCATTTATACTGAGGCGCATGTATAGACAAACAGAATGATGTTATAAAGATGAAAAACATTAGAACTACTGAAGAGATCACACCTACACATTAACAGACATGAAAATATCAAGTAAAACAGTAGGTAGCAAGGATAAAGAAGGGTGAAAAAAACAAGCAGAATAGAAGGTAATAGAGCTAATAAGTAGAGATTGACACAATGAACAGTTTAAAATACACATCTGCTCATCAATTTTGAGCCACATTACTGAAAGTCTTCATCCGGCAGTTGCATAGAATTTACACACACACACTGAGGCCAACAGTCCCAGTTATCACGACTACGTTGAAAACACCAGGTATTCCAGAATAGAGCTGCAAGGGGATCATTTTTCTAAGACCATGCAGGTAAGTGATGGATGGTACGTTTGGATAACAAAACTTTTTTTACTTTACTTCGGCTATCTCCTACGGGAGGATGAGCCGGCTTCATGAACATCTCGAATCATCGCTGCCCAGGCGCGGCCATGGTGAGAGTCGTTTGTAAGAGAGTTCATGAAGTTTCATGGGAATTTGGTACGAGTGATGTCCCCAGAATCTCTCGGCCTTTTGTTTGAGAGTGCAGCTCTAGCCTTTACACAACCAAGTGTGACCTACAAGGCAGTAGGAGTGGAGTAGGGAGTCCACTATCCATTGGCAGCCGGTGACCGGAGTTCGGTTCATACGCCTTTTTGAATGGGGCCAGACATCCAGGACATCCAACAAGCCCTTTGTCCATACGTTTGCCAGTGAGCTCCAGTGAGCTTCATACGCCAGTCGTTGGAGGTTTGGAATCAGGGTTTAGCCATCTCCCCTAGACTGTCATCCAATGGACGGTCAACCCGGTGAAGAGCGCCAGGCATCCGCTTTCGCCCTCTCTTTTTGGTGAAAAACACCTCCGCCACGTGAAGGCAGTGAGTAGGACTTCCTCAGGAGAGGCTATGTAAGAAGCCCGGTCATATGGGAGCATTTCAAGAGGTGTGCGGAGGGGTGGCCAACCCGCAGCGCAAGGCACCCACCCCCGACCATCCTGAGGCTTTGGAGGCCGTTATATCTAGTTTCCACAGGAGCAGGTGAATTGATAGATACACACTGATGAGACAAGTAGTGGTAGCCTATCCTTCACGCTCATACGAATCATTGGTCTAGTAGAGAAAGTGTGTCAGAGTTCAGCTGTGAAGGTTCTCTTCAATAAACATGACAGGCGATTTCTTATTATTTTCACCAACAAGTCTCCCCGGAATTTCAAATTCAGATGGAGGAGTTTCTCCAGAACAGAAAGTATGCACAGTTTAAATGGTGTAGGCTTCATGAATTCTCTGATGAAGCTTTTGAGTTAGCCATTTTCAATAAGAATGCCTTTTAAAGTGTTCAGCTTCTCTTCAGTGGTGTCAGGGCTGTAAATGTTACGAATTTTCTGGCTCAATGAGTGGCATTAGATTTCGTTTTATATATATAAGGCATCCAACTATGGAGGTGTGTGGGTGTGTTGTCCATTCCATATCTTCTTAGTGTTCCAGTGATGTGAACATCCAGGAAAGCTATTTTTGAAACAAACTCCTTCTCTGGTATGAAGTGGATTGTAGAAGGGTAGTTGTTGAAAAAATCTAGGATATCTTCCAAATTCTCTTCATCAGTCGAAACAATAAAAGTATTATCCACATATCTCCTGTACAACCCGAAGGTGTCCGACATGAAGAAATCTGAAAGCAACAGGTAGTACTCAGTGTTTGCCCATCAAACGTATCAATGAACGCTTACCCTCATGGTTTTATAAAGTAGAAAAAATATCCTCTCATCACCACCCCCACCTCACAGTTCTATTGTGGAACACCTAGTCGACCCTCAAACCAACTTGAGAAACATCTACAAAGTACGTAGAAACCTTGCCAAAACAGTACAGAATCAAACTTCTTCAAACCACAGAAGTGACAGTAATCCACATGTTAAGAAGTCCTGGACTCTGCATACAGCAGAAGTTTGTTCCGACACTGAATCTACAATGAACAGAATTTGTCTTAACACTGGATGAGTAATTTTTGTGAAGTTTAAAACACTTTAATAGACATTACTCCTTAAATAAATAAACTTATATAATTACAAAAATAAGACAGGGAACAACTTACACCAATATTATTATGGGATAAGTCTAGTTCATGTAGGTAGCCAATTCCACCAACCGGAAGATTATTGCACACCATTAATGATGATGAGGATAATGATGATGGCGATGATATAGAATTAGATTTTTGAAGTTTTGGAAATTTTGTACACGAATCATTGAATAATTTATCTGATGAATCATCATGATTTGTATTATTGGATATGATGTTAGGCTTTGTTTGAGGCATTACAGGAACAAGCAATTGATGACGTATTAAAGGTACTAATGTTTCAGCATCAGATGCTATTAATTTATTATTCGTTAAGCATAATTTTAATTCCCATACAGATGGTTTATGTACATCACCGGCGGTGATCTTTGTCTTAGCAGTAGTGGAGGAAGCAGTGTCAGAAGTAGCCCCGGTACTATTATTAGTTGTAGTTGTGGTAGTTGTTGTAGCAGTATTTGATGTTGTTGTTGTTGTAATTTTATTAGGGAAAAACACAGAATGTGAATGCATTCGATGCTTCCATCCACGAAATTTATGCATTCCACCAGAACTGGTTGATCTATCACGTACAGGTGGATGTAGACTTGATGAACTCAATAAGACACGTAACCATTGAGCTAAGCCAAATAAACCTTGACCAGAGAGATTACAATCAATAAAGGACAGGCGCTCCACGCATAGACCATAAAAACTTAAACCAAGAAAATTTCCAATATCTAATGGTGTATGACTTAAAGTGAAATGACGCAATGCAAATGACTAAAAACAACAACAACAAAAAAGAAAAGAAAAGTTAACACGGAAAGTAAACACAAAGTGTAACACAAGTTTATTAGATAATCAATAACTATTATAATCATTACAGGCCTATTAGTCTCACCAGCACTTTAATCAAGACACTGGAAAGAATCATCAAGAAAAGTATCATGACATATCCAGAGCACAGCATGGCTTCCAAGGAAACATCTCATACCTGTCAAATCTCCTCACTGCAAGAGAAAGCTGGGTCAAATCAAGGGACAACAGAAGACCCGTTGACGTCGTCTTCATAGACTTCAGCAAAGCCTTCGATAAAATTCCCCACAAAAGACTACTCATGAAGCTGGAAAGTCTTGGTATCAAAGGAAGGTTACTTAACTGGATTAGGGAATTCCTCATAGATAGGAAGCAGAGGGTTAGGATCAACTCGAAACTCTCCTCCTGGACAGCAGTGCGTAGCGGAGTGCCATAAGGCACGGTACTCGGACCTATCCTACTTATTTTGTATATCAATGAGTTATCTCTGCTCACCGACTCCCCTATGGTCCTATATGCAGATGACTTCAAAACCCGGAGAGAGCTGAAGGAAGACAGTGATACGCTTACGTTGCAAGAGGACCTCAAAAAAATGTCAGAGTGGTCCATAGAATGGATGCTCCCGATCAATGTAGCAAAATATGCAACCAAGCGCATCGGACACGCAAGCATCAGCTCCTACGAACTAGAGGGAATAAAACTCCCCATCAGTTCAGACTCATTTGGATTTAGGTGTCATAGTAAGTCACGATTTAAAAATTACAGCACACTGTCGCGCGGTGGCTGCACGTAGTTTCAGATCCTTATGGGCAATTCGCAGAGCCTTACTAGAATCACCAGAGATATGTTCACCTCCTTATATACATCTCTGGTGAGGTCAAGACTGGAAAACTGTATCCAGGCAGCCAGTCCTTGTCTTAAAGGGGACTCACACATTCTAAAAAGGGTCCAAAGGAAGGCAACGCGTATGATTCTCGGCATGACTAACTTATCATACGAGGAAAGACTAGACAGTTTAAATCTCTTCTCCCTGTCATGCCGTAGGCATACAGGAGATTTAATGACAATGTTTAAAATTTTAAATAATGACTACGGACCTGACCTATTCTCTCTTTTCCGTCACACCAAGTCGAAACACCTTAGAGGACATAACAGGAGAGTTCAAAAGCCAAGAAGAAATCATATTGCTGTTGAGTACTGGTTCTCACACGGAGTCATGAAGATTACGTTATGAACGAACAGAAGTTAAAAAGGTCATTGAAGACCAGGGAGCACTGAACAGCTGTCTCGTCCTAGTTCGGTAGACTCTTCAGCAACAGGAGCCCGCAACCCCATCGAGGATTGAACCCGGAAATTACAGGTCACAAGGCCAACTCGTTTACCATCCAGACATTCGAGCTGAAATTCAATCACCCGAATTAGCGATCCAGGTAGCTGAAAATAGTCAACAAACTTGGTCTAGTAACCTAAATGTCCCAGATTCGATCTCAAGAGAGGTCGTAGGGGTCCAGTTCTGAAGAGTCCTATACGAGGACGAAACGGCTATCCAGTCCTCCTTGGTTTTCAATAATCCCGCGCCTATATTCGTCCATGAAGAAATCTACGTTAAAATATACACACTAGTCAGCGAGTGATAATTAATGTGTTGATCAATTTCCATAAATGAGTCTTCAATGTGACCAGTATACTAAAAGAGATTCAATATTATCGCGATGTATCACGTTCTTGTCTCTGAGAAGGAAAAGGTGACTTTTGTAAATATCCTGGCAAACAAGCACAAGATCCAGGTATAGAGAGCTACTAGGAATCCTAGTTGAAAGTTAACTGCCAATGTAACAGTTACATACTAAAGCACTCAGAAAGTATTCTGTACATAATACCTTATAGAATACAATGAATGTTATAATATTACACGTTACATACTATGCATTGCTTTCACATTTAATACAATAGCTAAGTTGACATACTTTTCTGATGTAAGTAACACACCGACTCCATGCTTGACTAGCACCGGATCTATCCAAATTTAAGCTAATCCCCAAATCTGTACAACTTTCATAATGCAACAGCATATCGAACAAGGATGACGCAGACTGAGAAAGGGAAAAAAAGATTAAAGAAAACAATGGAATGACAATTATGTTTAACAAAAATACAACACTACTCAATAGAACAGGTAGAGTATGAAAAATACCTATGCAACAGGTTAGGTAAGATATTCCTCTTAACTTCACTTCATGATCTGACATCGGTTAGAGAACCACCATTGGAAAACCTGCAGAGAGTACTGGACAGATGTTTCGTCAGCCTAGTTTGGAACTCTTCAACAGTACGCACCCACCTCCAGGGAACGAACCCAACACCTTCTGGTTACAAGGTTAGCGAGCTCATAAACCATTGAGCAGCCACTTGAACCCGATCCAATGCCCAGCCCATGAATTCTAACTTCTGCCAATTCATGATATAGCACGACCACTTCGCAACGTCTTCTTCGATGAGTTACTGCCTCATCTTCAACCATTATCCATTATTTTTTGCTGATTTGTAATTCCATACGTTTAATTGTATAATATTAACGATTCATCTATGCAAGTGTTTCAATGACCTCTTAGAAAATTATACATAACTGTGCGGTCTTCAAGTGAAGTCATGCAAACAGGTGAAGTTAATTATCAGTAAGTAATCAGATGATTACAATAATAAAATAATTTCTATAGTTCGGTTTGTAAGGGTTAGTTTCTTTTACGAGTTGATCGCGGATTGATATCAGTTAGAGAACCATTGAAAACCAGCTGGGAGTACTGGACAGCTGTTTCATTCTAGTTTTGGGAATCATCGGTACCCACTGACAGGGTTCGGATCCAGGAACTTCCGGTTACGAGGTAAGCTCTAACTGATATCAATCCGTGATCAACTCGTAAAAATAAAATATTTATTTTTATCCCATTTTGAGAATTTCTTAACGGTTGTTTAAAAGGTAACCTAAAGATGAAAGCTGCTAATCACAAATCAACGGCTAAGAGAATTAAAAGAAAAGTCAACACCAAACCTACAACTACCTACAAACTGGAAAATTATATAGTACGACAAAGTCATTTCATACTAAGGCTAAGTTGTTGACGGTTAGGAATAGACACTAATCAAAGATTCACTAGAAAATTAGTTTTTGGAACACGTCTCAGCAGTCAGAACCCAGAACTCGAACCAAGAATCATTAAATTATAATGCAAGTATGTTGTCATTCAGCCACAAACTGTTAACAACACCTTGGCGTTTTTTACAACTTCTTTAGTCGATATCGGTTGTTGAACAATGTGAGAACAACAAATCGACCGGGATAACATGATATCATTTTATTTGCGTGATTCTTTTCAACTTCCTATAAATTAAAAGAGCTAATGGTGGTCAAACCATACATGGTTTCATCAGTCAATGAAATCCACAACAGTTAGTTTAAGCCCTCCCCCCTACGTCGGGAGGTGTAGACTACCTGAATGGTTGGGGTCCTCGGGATGGTAAAAACCAGTGGCTGGAGACAATTGGTGATATGACACAAAATCGTTCTCAACGATGACGCAGAAGTATTCACTCTTTGTGATTTAAAATACCCAATAAAATTCTATTGTTCTTCCATATTACTATTCTTTTCCCTCACATTTCTGTTTTTTATCTCCCTGTTGAATGTCTCTTTACTTTCTCCTCTTGCTTTGTGTACTACAATGAGGGAGTGGGGCCATTTGAACTGCTGCACATCTGTGCAAAGTTGTACGTTGAAACCAGTCCAGTCATACAAATTATTCGCATACTTAAATTAATTAGTTGGGAGATGTCCACTATCAATATTTCTCAATTAAGTATACAGAGAATAAAAACAAAAGAACTACACATATCAATAAGCTTGTCGATAAAACACAATGAGCGTATTCTACAGTCAGGAAAGCAATTTGGACATCAAATGTGAGTGCAAAACATTGAGTAGCAGCACATGTTACGTAAAAGTTATAATTTCATAACCACTACCATTAAATCCCTTCCAGCTGATTAATTTTTAAACACCCTGTGTAAACCAGCACTTGAAAATAAATCCAGTGCTCATTAGTAACTGACAACAGGGTGAAGTTATCGGGGGTTCCAGTGAGAAATCGTGACCAGGTAGGTCAACGAAGTCAGGTAAGAGAACAGCTACTCGCCTATGCTAATGGCTAGCGATTGCGTGAATTAACAGAATTTTGAATTCATGGACCACTGGATCGGATCTCAGTGGCTAAATGGTTTAAGACCTGGGTTTGAACTCCGGTGGGTCAGCATGCTGATGAAGACTCTCAAAACTAGGCTGACGAAACACCTGTCCAGCACACCATGCTGGTTTTCCGATGGTTGTCTCTAATTGGTGTCTCAGTTCGTCATCAAAACCTATATAACCAATCAAATCCCTGCAAACCAACACCTGATAGTTATAAGTGTCGATGATTCGAAGTGATGTTCTTACATTACTTAGGGAAGGATTTACAACTATTGTTTTGCTGAATAATATTAATAATGAGTCAAATTTTAACCGCTTTTTCATTGCTAACGCTCCAACAATACACCGTAGACGGAAGATGACTTGTACAATTTAAATCTTAACCTTAAATCATTTTTAAAAAAACACCGGTTTTGTATCCAGTATATTTACCAGGTGATTCCACTAGTAACCATTTTTGTACCTTTTGAATCATGATTACCTAAGAATATGTTTTTGCAAAGACTAGTTTCTTTTCAGTTGTATAGAATTTTATCTTTCCCAATTGTTACTCTCTTTTGTGTTTATTCTAGTTTTATTTTTGGTCAGTTCTTTTTTTTATTCCTTCACGTTCCCAGTGGAACATAGGGCTTCGAGCTAGAGGCTTGAAGTTTCTTTAGCGGTGTTTATTTTTACAGGATGAGGTTGTTAGCCTCATGCCCAACTTTTCCCCTTTAACAGCTTTATTTCTGGCTTAGCGAGGTAAAGGAGTGCGTCAGTGGCCGGGGATCGAACCCCGGACCATGTGCATAGTCGGCGAGCATCCTAAGCACTATGCCACCGACGCACTTTTGTCAGTTCAGCTACTTTTTTGACAGTGTTATTTCACACCTCTTGTATTATTTGTTGTCTTTGTTCATACTCTTGACCTGAGTACTACTACTTCTGACTTTCCGACTTATTATTGTTGTTTTTAATTGCTTTGAATCATAAAGATTTATAGTCCCTATGTAACATGCGCAGTTTATTTTTGTGCATCCATGTTTAATTTCCACGTTACGTTCCTAATTGTAAACTATTCTTGTAAAACGTTTTTAAAATATGCCAACCAACAAATTTGCACAAAACTGTAGTCCCTTTCTTTCAACGCTTCATGTGTATCTGATGACGACGTAATACTGCTTTTTTTAAATATTTTATTCGTTTGCGTTCCCAGTGGAACACAACGATTCAAAATTTGGAGCTTTGAAGTTTCAGTAGCAGTGGTGTTTTATTTTTCACAGGTTGCGACTGACTGGCTTCACGCTTAACCTTCCCTCTCTACCGACCTTACTACTATTGTCTAAGTGTGAGGTTTAGGAGTGTGTAGACCGGGGACTCAAACCCTGGATCACAAGTGGTTGGTAGGCATCTTACCGCTGCACCACCAACACATCAATATTAATGGTTGCCATATTTTAAAATTATCCAACTATCAAGTGATAGGAGCATTGTTGTAGAAATAAAGTTACAAAAGCCCCAGAATTATTATAAATTCCCTTATATTCCTAATGGAACAAATAGGGTTTCTAAGAGCTAATTGGCTTCCCGAAGGCTTTCACCAGCCTGCGTTACTCCGTCTCTCAGAATCCAGGGAAGAATAAGTTTGCTATTTATAATTTTTCTGTGCGTTGAAGTTTCTGGGTTTAATTTTCCAGGGTAGGTTTGCTAGCCCCACGCGCAACCTCCCATCTTTTAATGAGCTTCCGATCGGCCAGTAAACTAGAGTCTCAGAAAATATCTGCTAAACTAACCACAAACTGTATAACTCATCATTTCAGAAAAAGTTTAAAATAGAAACCTTAAATTCATTAACTTATTAAAACAAAGTACGCATCAGTAAATTGAAAATCCCTGTAGTGTAATCAAAACTAGATGATTTGGAGCGAACAACTGTTGTTTCGATAAATTCTTCCTCAGGCTGTACAGTTATAAATCCATGAATATTATAATAAAAATAGCCGTCAAAGGCATGCGGAAAGTATATTGGAAGTTGTATTGGGGTACATGTATAATATGAAGTGATAGTGTTCGTTGTTTAATATTGTCGAATGAACGTATATAAAATGTGTAGCCATTCAGAACAGAAGATAAAGTTCTGAATAGACAAAAGAGTGACATACTAATGTGCTTATAATCAACAGGATAAAAGTTTCATTGGGGAGTAGGGGTGAGTTATATTCACTGTTGTGCGAGGAGAATGATTACCACAAAATACATACAAATAAATACCGAAAAATGGGGAACACTAAATGTAAATTCAAGAAGTGACAAATATCAAGTGTAGTGATAAAATAAAGAGGTTAAATTGTGAACTGTAATAAAAATTTTTTACGAGTTGATCACGGATTGATATCAGTTAGAGAACCATTGAAAACCAGCAGGGAGTACTGGCACAGCTGTTTCATCGTAGTTTGAGAATCATCGGCAGGACGCACCCACTGACAGGGTTCGAATCCAGGACCTTCCGGTTAAAAGGCAAGCTGGCTCGTGTACCATTCAGCCACTGGGACCCGATTTAATGGCCAGTCCATGAATTCTAACTTCTACCAATTCGTGATTTAACGCGACCCCAACCATTGTCGTAGGTGGGACATCCATCCTCACACGTGACATCTGGATGGACCTCACTGGTCACGACTTCTCACTAGAACTCCATCACCAACGACAATGGTTGGGGTCGCGCTAAATCACGAAATGGTAGAAGTTAGAATTCATGGACTGGCCATTGAATCGGGTCCCAGTGGCTGAATGGTATACAAGCTAGCTGGCCTTGTAACCGAAAGGTCCTGGGTTCGAACCCTGTCAGTGGGTGCGTACTGCCGATGATTC